TCGTTAGACTGATTACAAGATATTTCTTTTTTTTTTTTGCATGCTCTTGTGAAAGGAATTATTTCCCTAATTTCTCTCTCAGTGAGTCTGTTATTTGTGTACAAGAAGGCTATTGTTTTTTGAATGTTGACCTTCATCCAGGTACTCTCCTCAAGCTGTCTCAAATTCTTTTGGCAGTTTTTTGGCTCTTCTGTGTAGAGTATCACATCATCAGCAAATAATGACTGACTTCTTTCTTTCCTATGTTTATTGTTTTTATTTCTTTCTCTTGTGTAATTGCTGTGGTTAATGTTTCCGGAACAATATTGAATAGGAATGGTAATAGTGGACATTCTTGTCTTGTTCCTGATATTAGTGTGAATGTTTTCAGTTTTTGACCATTTACTATGTTTTTGGCTGTTGGTTTTTCATATATATCCTTAATCAGGGTGACATAAAGACTTTCTATTCCAATTTTTGGTAGGGTTATTATCATAAATGGGGATTGGATTTTGATGAATGCTTTTTCTCCATCTATTGAGATGATCATATGGTTTTTCCTTGACTCTCTTAATATCATGTATTACATTTATTGATTTATGTATGTTGAACCATCCTTGTTTCCCTGGGAAAAATCTGGCTTGGTCAGGTTGTAGGATCTACTTGATGACCCTCTGTATTCCATTTGCCAGTGTCTTGCTGAGGATTTTTGCATCTATGTTCAGTAGGGAGATTGGCCTGTAGTTCTCTTTTTGGGCTGGGTCTTTCCCTCGTTTTGGAATCAAAGTAACACTTGCTTCCAGGAATGAATATGGAAGTATTGCTTTCCTTTCAATGTCCTTGAAGAGTTTAAAGAGTAATGGTGTTAGTTCTTCTCCACATGTCTTGTAGAATTCAGCACTGAAACCATCAGGACATGGGCTTTTCTTTGTTGGTAAATTTTTAATTAAATTTTCAATTTCAATGATTGTAATTGGAGTGTTTAGAATTTTTATATCTTCTTCATTTAACTTTGGCCATTTAACTACTGCTCCTGGTCGAGAGGAAAGGGTTTCCTGGCCACCATCCCTCCCGCTGCCCTCAACCCAAGAAAAGGGCTTTTGGGCGGCCTTGTGTCCAGCTGCTCCCCGTCCAGAGGAAGGGGATTCTGAGCCACCATCCCTACTGCCACTCCTGGCCCCTGTCCCATCTCTCCCAGCTCAGAGGAGGTGATCCTCATGGGTGCCACAGCATGAACCCACCCCCGCCAGTTGAAATGAGAAAACACATAAATAACTCTCAGAGCCGGAATTCCAGATCACCTACAGAAACCCCAAGAGGAAATGAGATGGAGCACTCTGAAACTCAACCACCTGGAGCCACTGAACTGGCAACAAAAGGGGATCTGGAAAAAATGAAATCAGAAATAATTTCTCAGATAACAAGAGAGATTGTGCTCCTAGTGCAAGACATGATTAATAAATCTAGAGAAGAGCACAGGAATATGATGGAATCCCAACATAGGAAACAAATGGAATCCATAAAACAGATGCAAATAGATTTCCAGGACATAAAAAACTCCATTGAAAGCCTACACAGCAGAATGACCCAATGTGAGGACAGAATTTCAGATATAAAAATAAGATTGCAATTAGTGACCAGGAAAAGAAAAATTGCTTCAAAATTATAAGGGAACATGAGAAATCA